GATGTCGAGCACAATTTTTTATTAAATCTTGCCCAAGTACTTTCGCTCTCACAACATCTTCAGGGGAATTCCCCAAAATTAAAAGCTATCCAGCACGTTAATGAATGTTATACACATTAACCCCTTAAGAAACTATCCCGAGATAATCTTCAGGGAATTCCCCAAAATTAAAAGCTATCCAGCACGTTAATGAATGTTATACACATTAACCCCTTAAGAAACTATCCCGAGATAATTCGTCTTGCACTTGTTGTACCTAAAATAACCAACCCGAGATATTTCGTTTTGAGCTATTTAGTGGGAATTTAAGTCATTTATTTCGTACTTTCGAGTTAGGCTTTCGGAATTTGAACGAATTTAGACGGAGTAGTTGTTACAAGCTATGTAACATGAGACAATCGACAGGTCGAAGATTTGTTTCATATACCTGCTGACCGAGAATCATTATTTATTCGCTTGAAAACAAGCATGACACACAAAGAAGTTGTTACAAAGCTGTATTGCGTCAATAGTGAAAGAGAAATGTCAAAGTGAAATATTATCAAGTGACTCAGATTTCAATGAAAATGACAGTTCAACCGGTTTACTTCAAGCAGTCCAATAGTGGGTTATAGTGGATAGACTGGTCAGGTCCGGCTCCATCGAGGATTCCTTTTACTGGGAAATCGGAGTGTGATTTCAATATACAGGATGTTGAAAATAAGGTCGAGTTTTTCAATATTTTCTTCGATGATGAACTAGTGGACAAAATTGTTCAAGAAAAAAATCGTTTTGCTAATCTGAAAAGCAGATCAGGCTTTCGCCAAATGGACACCAACGGATAGGGATGAAATGCGAGTATTTTTTGAAATTGTATTACTGCAAAGCTTGGTATAGAAACCAGTGCACTGCCTTTATTGGTCCAATAACCCAATAATTGAAACGCCTTTTTTTCTCAAGATTATGAATTATAAAAGGTTCTTCAAAATAAAGCAACACCTGCATTTCTCTAATAATGAATCTTTCGACAGAAATACTCACCTAAGTCCGAAATTGTATAAAATCTGGGAAGTTTATGAATACCTAAATGCTAAGTACAAATCTTTTTACGATATGGAAAATGATGTAACAATTGACGAGAGCTTACTTCTCTACAAATGCAAACCCGGATGGATTCAATACATTCCAAACAAAAGACCACGATTTGCTATAAAAAACTACATGCTGTGTGAAACCTCCTCCGGATATATTTGGCATAACATAATTTATACGGGAAAGGATATAAAGTTTGATGAACAATACAAAGATCTTCCAGTGTCAACACGTATAGTTGTGACGCTAATGAAACCTCTACTGTCGAAAGGTCACTGTTTGACAGATAACTTTTATACACCCCCTGAACTAACTTTTATTAGCAGTTCGCACAGATACGTACAGTACTATTAGAATGCCAAGAAAGGGTCTACCACCAGAAATGAAGATCAAACTTAAGAAAAATGAAGTTATCGCGTTTCAAAAATCAAAGGCAATAGTAATGAAGTGGAAGGATAACCGGGAGGTTTGTGTACTGTCAACGCTGCATAATGCCGAAATAGTTACTGAAGAAAGGCCAGAAAAGGAGATACAAAACCTAGGATTGTTCAAGACTACAACAATACTATAGGTGGCGTGGACAAAGTCGACCAACATCTTGCTGATTACCCTATAACCAGATAGAGTGAAAAGAGGTATTACAAAGAAATCTTTTTCCACCTCCTCTAACATGCTGAGTGGAATGCTTTTGTGCTGTACAAAAAAAGCAGAGGGCTAGGAACGCATCTAGAATTTCGAATGGGTTTGATAACGCAACCGATTGAGGTTTGCTACAAAGATAGAAGGGTGTCAAGAGGAAGACCTTCAACGTTTCCAAACCCACTTGGACATGTGTGTGTTGTGTGCAGTAAGGTGAAGAGTGTACCCGGAAAGAAGTTGAGACGCGAATCAAGGTACTACTGTCTTGATTTTGTATTTTGTAAATTTCAGTCATTTTCAGAGTAAACCATGACGCCTTTGGTTTGCTGGGAATGGCTTTTAGATGAAAAACGAACATACAATGCTCTAGGCAAGGTATACAACAAAACCTTTTGCACGCAGGTTTTATTTATCCAACCAAAAATCCTTCAAGGAAATATCTCGGGATAGTTATTAAATACATCTTCAACCGTTAAAAAAATTTATAAAAAAAAGTAAAAATAAATATTGTATACCATTTTTGAATTCTGCAAGAAGAATTAAGTGCATAAATAAAAAAATGGGTTTTTTTTGGGACCGATTTTGGAAAAATAAATGGTTCGTTTATTTTTAAAATGGGTTAAATTACACATTGACAAAGGATTTACACAGTTTAAAATTATTTAGAAGCTACATTCTGGAAAACAGCATTCATTTTCTCTCCTGCTCTCATTGTAAACACATGTACCTTTATAAAGGATTTGTAAACTCGAATATAAGAGATGACTAAAAAGCGATGAAATAAGAAACAATTGCCAAATAACATCTACAATATTAGTTTATATGTAAGAGGAGAAAAGTAACAGTAATTTCAGAATGTGCCCATGAATCAGTGCTGGGTGGCATAATAAAACTGCACAATTCTGTTCTATAAATACACGCAACATATATAACACGCTGTGCTAATATAATAATATTGAGATCGCATCGCACCATTATAACATTTTTTACAACAAAACCAAGCGCTTGCGATTTACATCTTCGAACAACAAACAAATATACTTGTCGAATCTGTTTATTAGTAGATATATGTAATACAGAAGTTTTTAAACCAGTTTTGATGGGTTAAATGGCGTATGAGCCACGTCCAAAACTATGGTTTGGCTGACTTTAAACTAATTTAGCGAAACCGTACTTTCGGTACTACTTATTTATAATCAAAATTCCCAAGTTTAAACGAATAGCCAACGTGCAACAGCTGATCATTAAACTTTTATCGATTTTATAGCTGCTATTGTACAATTGTAATGTATCGATGAGAAAATTGAAACTTAACCTTCCAGCGGTCGCGCGTATATGGTAGATACACGGGTAATGGATTTAGTATATCTATTATCTGTGCTGCGATCGGGTGCTTTTCGCTATTCCTACTCCATTACTAAAGCAATCTTTCGCTTCCAGTGTACAAATAATCTGTCAAGGGATAGTACGTTGCTGAGAATTTTGCATTTGTATTTCAGATATACGCGCGACTTTTTAGGTAAGTTTTTATAACATCTGTTTTTTAATTGGATATAGATACTATCCTTATTATATTACTATTTCATGCATTTTTTGTGTTGAAAACTTTCTACGTTGATATAAGAGGTCTGTATCTCTCATATACACGCGACCATTTGTGACAATTAGTTCCATTTTGTTTATTTTATTTTAGAGATGGCAAGTAAGAAGATTTTCAACCTCAATGATCCCACTGATATAGAAACTGTTACAAATTTGATGTTTGCTGAGCCGGATGACGATATACGTATGGATGATAGCGATACAGACGAAGAGGAACATGTTTCGGAACGTGATGACGATTCTGGGTCCGAATTGAATGATGGAAGTAATGCCGAAGACGAAGCTGACAATTCCAACGAGGCTTATATAGCTCATCTAAAGAAAAATGGAAAAGTTTTCGATTCATGGATTTGGCAAAAAAATCCAAACAAAAAAAGTAAGCGACCACCTCGCAATATTACTCCGTTTCTCTGGGGTCATTGGACCAGCTAAGAATCTCACAGACATTGTTGATATTTGGAAGTGCCTCAACTGATCCTATGATTGAGAGCATCGTGAACTTCACAAATAAGTACATAAGTTATGTAAGATCTAATTATTGTCGTCCAAGAGATACAGACAAACTAGAAATAACAGCCCTTTTGGGCATGCTTTATTTGGCGGGCATTTACCATGGTAATAGAGGTAACCTTGAAGAACTATGGAGAATGGATGATTTGTGCTTCTTACAATGTTGCCAGGAATACCAGAAGATGGCCGATGGTAGTATTTTTTTTTTCATGTTAAATGTAGCCGCGATCAATAGTTATATAATCTGTTCTACCAATAATAACGAAAAAATACTTCAGACATTCATCTGTATGGAACATTCAAACCATATTTGTCAGGACTACAAACAGCGATACAATAATATGGGTAATGTGCAATATCTAGGAGACATCTGGGATTTGTGACACCGTTGTTGTTTTTAATGAATTTCAATAAAAATGTTTAAGAAATACAGTGTCAATCAATCTTCCACCGAATATATTTTGTATTAATATTTCATTACCTACATCTTAAAATAATTAATTAGCATTTAGCGTATCTAGGAAATATGCGCAACCATTCTTGTTGGTACAAAGGCCGCGACCGCTAGAAGGTTAAATAAAGCTGAAGAAAAAAAGATTGACTGAAAATCTAGTTATAACAAAAGATTTTAAAATAAATAAGTAATGAAAAAGTTGTTTTTTTTATTATGTTTTACTTATCTGGGAGAGGTATTTTCCATTTAGTGGAGAATTATCCATTTCAAACGTCGTCTGTAAGTCAGCTAGTTTTTTATATTTAATTTTGAGCTTTTTATCTCATATTTCGCAACGTTATACTACTACTATCTAAATTTGGAAATTTGGATTACAAATAAAATATAGGTACACGATAAACAATTATAGTCGTATTCAAAAACATACCAACAACTCTTTATATTAAAACGTACCTCAAGACCTATCGTGGAAGGACATCGTGTGGCGCAATCGTTCAGGCAAGGTCCTTCAAAATCCGCAACCGCTTAAATCAACTTGATATTGAGGAAAACTTGATAACCCTTCCGCATAATATGGACGTATAGTACAGAATGCGCAAAAATTCGCTCGCTAGTACGTTCTTTTTATTCATAATGCGCAATAAACGTTAGACAGTTCATCTGAATGATATCTGGTAACTTCTAAAACGCAAAATTCTCATGGCGCAAAATTTGGAACGCTAGGTTAATCTCGTTTACCCATAACAGACGCAAAATTATGAAACGTGGCACTCTGTCGATCTTCGTATTTCTTAAAAGCGTGTGCGCATGCGCAATATTTGGCACAGTTGACGTCTAAATCTGCGCAAGTGCGATTTAATTTGAGGGAAACCTTCAATAATTTAGTCGGTGACTTAGGCTTAAATAACCTGTGGAAAAAACTAAAAAATATATGTATGACGCAACAATTTATTATACATTTATTCGGTATAGCTTTTTGGCGAAACTACACTGTAAAATATGTGATACCTTAAGAAAGAACAAGTTGTGCTATTCAAAAATATTAAATTCTAGATAATACATACATACATATAAGGCTGCAATTCCCGAAGACGTTGTAGTTGCTTTCACTTGGAAATTCTTTTTTCGTTGAGGATCAGCTCATTATGAGTTTTGTTTTACGATCTACGCTGCATTTCTAGCATCGTTCTTATCTGTCTATAAAACTATGTTTCTTCAGTTGAGACTACGCTTCAATTGTTCAATTACACTATGTTCTCATTTTTTAACAATTATATGCTGTATCCATTTATAAATTTGGATTATACGCTTATTATTAACAAACTATAGCCAATGGCAATCAAAAATATACCATCTCTTTATATTAAAATATACTCAAGACCTATCACGGAAGGTCAACGTGTGGCGCAGTTGTACAGGCAAGGTCCTTCAGAATCCGCAACCGCTTTAATCAACTTCATTATTTTATATTGATGAAAACTTAATAACCCTTACGCATTTTATTGACAATTTGGGCGTATAGTTTAGAATATTTGGTAATTTCTAGAAGGCAAAAAATTCGTATGGTGTCAAATTTAACTAATCTTGTTTCTTCTTCTTAAGCTATCGTCTATATTACGGAAGCTTGGCGATAATAACCTCAAATTGCTAACTATCTTGAGCTGTTCTTAATAATGAATGGATGTGCAGTCTCTTACATTCTTCTTCCAGGACCTTTTTTCTTTCCACTTTCCCTTCCATCAGGAAATTGTATTTTTTCCTTTGTAAATATGTCCTAGATAACTCGTTTTCAGTTTTTTACGATGTTTAGTTGTTCTGCCTCAGTCCCAATCCTTCTCAGCACCTCACTGACTCTTAAAACCAACATCTCAAAATCTTCTATCGCCTCATATTCCTATGTACATATTTCCACTCTGTATAACAGTATAAAATAAATTAATATCTTTACAAATTGGTATAGGTTATCCAATAAGGTACAGTTTATTATAAATTACTACATTGTCTGAAAAATGGACCTAACATACTCTGTAAGAACTCGTATTTTGACTTCGTGGTCAATATCGTTTGATATCCAGCAACCAAGATAATGGAATCTTTGTACGGATTCCTCTGTTTGTTATAAATACGAATATTAATGTCGACTTTAGGTGTATATGTAACATCCATTATGTTTGTTTATTTTCAGCCCTAAAGGATCTTGTCTATCCATAATAAGCATGCGCATAAGTGGAATATTGTCTATAGTAAATCTGCGCAAGTGCCAAATAGTTTGAAGGAAACTACAATTTATTATATTCTGCTTAAATAATCTGTGGAAAAACTAAAAAAATATATACATGATGCAACAATCGATCCATTTATTCGGTATGCGTTTATTCAGGCAAACTACACTGTAAAATATTTGGTACCTTAAGAAAAAATTAATATGGCCGCTAGCTGAAAATTGTCAAGGTTTGGAAGATCCATTATAAATCAGAGTGCCACTATTGCCCATAGGAAGACCCAGCAAGTTTCCAAGTTTGACAGGGACGCCTTACTGTAGTATACACATAAATTACAAATGTGTAGAACGAACTGTCTTGGTGTAGGAGCCTTTATTTGCTCTCTATAAAAGCACTAGGAACAGTGGCACACTACGGATTCACGTGGCACAGCCCGGCAACTGCATTGGCCTGCAGGCTAAACTAAATTAGCTGAAATGTGGAGGGATCAGCAAGTGATTTCCGGTATAAGCGATCCCCCAATTACTGCCAAAAGTGATGAAAGTTGGCTATCATAATTTTATTCAGCTCAGCTCTGAAGAATGGTTAAACTACTCAGGTAGGTTACGAAGTAATGATGTTCTTCTTTTGTCCCGAATAATAAGATGGAGGACTCCATATCGTTTTGGGTGTCACATGACATGGACACAAAAACTATTAATTTTCGTATTTTTGGGATTTTGTTTTTTATTATATCAGGTTGTTTTTTTAAATGTCTTGACTATCGAAGTCTCTATGTGTATGGTTTTTGGCACAGATTTCTCTATGACATTGTCAAATTATTCCACACAGTGTATAAAGCAGATGTATGTCGCAATTAATGTTCCAAAACTTTGGTTGATGACTTACACAGGGAGGTTAGTTGCAAAACTTTGGAAATAATAAAAAAACCGCATCCTTAAAACAGTATATTATCAAAATGAAGATATCTAAACACTACATGACATAAACTTAAGGTTTGATGCGCTAAAATTAAACAATCTTACATTATCCAGAATAGTGGCTTCCGCTAATATTTCTCCGAGTTTTGATTTTGTTTTCTTAATTGTCCGTCAAACGAATCCGGGCGCATGGAAGCGAGTATTCGACAATGCGTGTTTAGTACATGCTGAAAATCGGAAAAGTATAAAAAACAAAATAATGCTGCCGTATGCGCAAAACATCCAAACAACTTATTTAATAAAAACGTAATTTGAGTATGGGTAATAAAACGGGTAAATGTGTTAAATGTATAGCTAATCAAAATGTGTACAATACGTAGTTGGTGATCAAATCATTTTATTAAGTTGTCACACTGAAATAGCAATATATCGACTAAGAATACCAATGAAGAAACCATATTTAGGAAACTTTTCCGACCCTGTCATTTTATCCAGTTTGCGGTAGGTAGTATGAATTATACGATTTATGTGATAGGGCCGTAAACAAAAATAAAATAAATCTACACTTTTAACCTTTTCATCTTAAAAAAAAGCATTTCTTATAGCTCATTTCCCCTACGAGAATCGTAAGACATATGGTAAGGCGCCATGTTTCTTTTGTTACTGCTTTTCTTACTCCATTTACTGAGGCTTAAAATATGGTAATACCTCCAAATTTTTTATAACTGCATCGATTTCTTTGAAAATTTTAAATTAAGCTTATCTTACCCTCCACTTCAAAAGTTATATACGCTCTAGGTGCGCTTTTTGTTTTTAAGGGGTGACAACTACCCCTTATTGAAGAAACTGGGAAAAACACAGGATTTAATTATTTTATGCACTTAAATCTTGTTTATTCACATAAGGTATATATTGTAATGTGTTCTCTAATATAAAAATTAATTATTCACAATTTTCAACCCTTAAAACCCTTTAAAACCCTTAAAGATAATACTTTTTATAAAATAATATGAAAAAAAAGTCGTAGCAGCTTGAGACATTTCTATTATGTATTTAAATACAAATAAAAATTAAATACCCTTGCTATACAATATTTTATTTATTGGAAATTTTCAACCCTTACAACCACTCTTATGACAAAAATGAACTAAAAAATATTTTTATCGGTTTGAAACATTTCTTGTGTGCATTTTATTTAACGAAAATTAATTTTTTGCATATAACTTTTACTATTTCAACATTTCAACCCTCACCACCACTCTCCTTTTTTAAAAAATTAATTTAATATATTTTTATTGGTCTGAAACCTTTCTTGAGTGCATTTTATTAAACAAAAATTAATTTCTTGCTTATAAAATAACATTTTATTATAATTTTAACATTTCAACATGCATAAAAAACTATTTTACATGTAATTTAACGGGCTATAAGTATAGGAATGCTAAAACATTCTAAAGTCCTTCATGTTTAAAGGGTGAAGGGTCAAAGGGTCGGAGACCAGTGGTTCATGCGCTATAAAGCAAACTTCAACCAACTATATCTCTGTTATTTTTTAAACTTTTAAACTAAACTAAAAAATTGTTCAGGAAATGAGGAAAAAATAATATTAATAAAGTTTGGAACATATAAAGTTTATCATAACCAATAAAAAAAGTTTTTAAATGATTAAAGCTATTAAAGGTAATAAAAAACATTTTCCATTATTTTTATGACAAGGAGTAGTTTTTAAGGGTGCAAAATTACGCAATAAATAAATAAATACTATAATACTCAGTAAATGAGATTTCAATTCAGTAATGTATTATTCAAATAATTCTTGAAATTAATTTTTTCAATGATTCTGCTTTAAGAGGGTGGTTTTTAAGGGTTGAAATTTCACAGTCAATCAAAAATTATCTCATAAACATTAAAGAAACTATTTGGGTAACTTTAAAATGCGATTTGATATTTTCAAAATATAAAAAATGATTTTTTCATGATTTTCGATTTAAGGGATAGTTGCTAAAAGGGTTGAAAAATTAATTAAAATCATAAATCATGCTCATAAATGTTGCAAAATATTTATTTTATTTAATTAATCGAGATTACTTATGCCAGAATGCTTAAATCTGCATTTTTTATCATTTTTAACAAAAGGGGTGGATTTTACCCTAGAATGCAAACAAGTTGAGCATACGTCACTTTTGAAGTTGAGGGTAAAATATACTCAATCCCAAATTTTCATGCAAATTCGATGGAGGTTCACCGAAATCGGAGGTAATAGTTGATTTTTACCTTCATTCACTGTACTACTTATGATCGCTGTATATCTCTGCTCAGTGCTAATATTAATGTTCAGTGATAGTCAACCCAAAACGTAGAAGGGCTAACTTTTTATTCAGCAAAATATAGTCTGTCATCAATCTTTCTGCTCCATTTTTATTGGTCTTTGTAAGAAAAGAGAATATTATGAAAACGTATTTTATTTGTACTAACAGCATTAAAATATGCCAAAATTAGCATAAACCCACTCTTCTATTGTACTTGGAGGAGTAGAAACTTTCTTGTGTATTAAAAATTTCTTTATTGGTTGGTAATTAGATTCGATTGAGAATGCTTCTAGACCTCCTTCATCTCGATTCTTTCTTTGATCATATTTGCATAATTATAACCATATCTTCTGTTTCCCCTCACTTTGATGAATATTTTTGTTCGCCTGCACTATCACATTTTTACCAATTTTTTCTAGTAGCTGAGTACTTTAACTTTCTCCATATACTCTATAGTTCCACTGCTCATTCGCCTTGTCCCAGTTTTGGTATTTTCCATAATTGTTTGATGAATTATTTTCTAACATTTAATTTTCCCACCATATCTTTCACCTGTTTTTTTGCTATTGGTATCAGTCTCTTTTTCTCTCATCATTACTTGCATAATAATATATCATACCTTATACCAACAGTTGTGCATAAAATGTAGTTAACACTGATCTTAACGATAATGGCCGTTTTGTATGTTACATTCAGCTTAAGGCCTCTTGTATACGTCCGTTTTTACACTGAACAACGTACCATCAATAAACGGACATTCTTGAATACATATAAAACTGACTTTACCTGACTGACTAGCCTCAAGTGACTGCCGAAGCAATTAGACGTGATAATATCAAACAGTAAAAAAATATAGTAAAGTATTTATACAAGAAAGGGCAAGAGGCAACAGAAAAATGTAATAGGTCTTTGTATATACATCTTGAGACTATTGTAAAGAGAAAAATATGGTCCCTTTTTTCAACCAAACATATTATTAGACCCATGTCAGTGTTCTTCATTATTAATTAAAAAAAAAGGATGTAAACAATAATAAATGTGGCATATGTTCGATAGTATTTCCGCAAAATACCTTAGCGTAGTTAACCGCACTTTCTAGTAGGACTGTGAGTTCAATAAATATGGACTGTTATCCAGTGAAAATAAACGGACGTCTACAAGTCACCTAAACGTTACTACGAGAAAAAATTATTAAGACTATTGATTTAATTGTTTAAAATAAAAATACTAACAACAATTTTTTATATTTTCCCGACTAAATCCGCGTTTATAATAAAACCTCATTAATCCCATAGCAGGATTTATAAGAACCTGGTTATATCACAACTTCCGCGTAATTTAATACTTCGCCTATCTACAATAAAAATACTCACCCTCTTTGCTGTGGTAGAGGTGGATATGCGGAATCGTAGCCACTTCTTGCTGCGGTAGCTCCCCCAGATGCCGCAGCGTACGAGTTTCCGTAACCCTCAGCAGGTCGCCCACCATATCCTCTATCACGCTCCTGATAGCCACCACCAGCTGAAGCCGCTCTGTATGGATCAGCAGCAGCGTATGGATCGGCCGCCGAGCGATCGGAATAGGCGGCGCCGTAGCCACTGGCGTCGCGAGCGTAGCCGGCAGAAGCGCCATATCCGTTGGATCACCATAACTTACAAAACAATTCAATTATTTATACAATTTTTACAAAAACATCAGTAGATTACATTGTAATCACCCATACCAAAACAATGCAGCAATAAGCTCAAAAATTATATAGATGAATTAAATATTTACCTTGGTTTAGGTGCCATATCTCTGCGACTGTAGAGACCATCTGGTTGAGCAGATCTTTGATCGTATGCACCAGCAGCCCCGCGTCTGTCTTCATAACCTCCTCTGTTGTCATAAGCTCCTTGTCTTTCGTAACCTGCTGAGTGATCTAAATTATAAGGCAATCAGAATCATAAAAGAAAAAATGTATTTTAATTTAAAGAAAAAACCATAATGTTGTTAAGATGTGTTTAATATGCTATTATAAATCAGTGTTTTAAGTTTAAAGATATTGCCAGTGTTTTACCACAAAAATAATTTAGATGTACATGTTCAAAGCCACAAGGAACTCTTAGGACCACAAATAGGTTTACCAGATTACCTCAAGGAGGTAATGACCACAGATACTAGGATATTGCTACTGAACAAACAGAAATAATTAAAGGTATACCCTTCCAAATAAAAAAGCACAAGAATGTATATTCACCAAACACAGAAAAGGCATATTAAAGTTAAAGTAAAAGCTTATTAAAAATATTGACTTCTTAAATTTATCTTGTGCATAAGCAAGTTTTCAAAAGAAAAATTCAGAATTTCATATTTGAACAATTAAAAATATATGATTACAAATTTCACACTATTCTTGATAAAAATTAAAATATAAAAAGAACAAAATATTGTTAGTTATTATATTAACACCAGTAATTATAAACCAAAATATAAGACATACCTCCATAACCAGCAGCATAAGGATCTCTTTCATATCCTCCTCGTCTATCATCATAACTATCAAATCCTGCAGGTTCTGCTCTTCTATCATCGTATGCTGGTCTGCCACCACGTCTATCATCATATCCTCTATCTCCACCTCCATAGCCGCCGCTTCTACCACCCCTGTCAAAGCCACCACCTCCTCTGTATGGTCCACCATCACGTCCACCACCATAACCTCCATTTCTACCTCTGAAGTCTCCTCCTCCTATATAAAGAATAGATTTTGGAAAAAATACTTTGCTAGCATTTTTAATGGACAAAACTCATATAAAATTTTCATAATAATAGTGTGGACTAAATATTACATCTTATCTTTTACCAGAATTATTATTAAATTAAAGAAAGTTGTTTATTGTTTATTAGCTTTTTATTGATAGCAATTTAACAGCAGAAATGCAATAATAAAGCACACAAAATTGCAATATTTATTGTACTCAGTGAAAAAAAAAGGAGTGTTTGGTAATTAATATTTTGAGCTCAAAAGTATAACTAGTTTTTGCATTAACTATGTATTGTACCCATATATACTACTTACCTCTTGAATATGGGCCTCCTCGTTCTCTTCCACCTCTGGGTCCACCACCACTTCTTCGCGGCTTAACTCGCCCCTTTTCAACTGAAATTTTGGAACCCATGAATTCCACGCCATTTAGTTCATCAATAGCCTTCATTGCTAATTCGGCATCTTCTAAGTGGAGAAATCCACATTTGTTTGCGATATCGCATTCTGCAATATTCCCGTAGGGCTCGAAAAGTTTCTTTAAATCGTCTGGTGTGGCGTCAGGAGGCAAACTTCCTACAAATACTTTTGTAGTCGTTGATGAACGGCCGGGAGTCTAAAATTTAACGAATTAGCTTCTACATATAAACAAAGAGAATGTATATTACCATTTTGTTTCCAAAATTGTAAGTAATCTATAAGACAAACACCAAAAATACGAATTGCGGGTTTTGAATTAAAAATGGTGAAACATGCAGTGAAGTGAACACAGACCAGTGTTACCAGTGGCTGGGCATGGAAGGATGCACCTCCCTGTCAAAAATTATGCGATTTTGTACAAAATTATGCGCTCTGTTGTAACCTTACTGTCATCTGTCACGTCATGTTAGTTGTCATTGTAAAGGCCGTATGACACTATGCATTTTCTTGTATCATGTCATATATCGTTTCTGATATGGGAAGTTATTTATGTTTTCTTGTATCTAAGTCTTGAATATAAAATTTTCTTCGATAAAGTAATTTTTATTTGCTAAAGACAATGACGTGTTGAGTTTACCGAAAGTACAAGCTGATTATAGCCACAAATGTCAAACATAGAACAAAAACTTTCTCTATAGCAGTGTTGGCATGTTTTTGTAAATGTAAATGCTGTATACTTCAAATATAAAAAGATAAAGCTTTAGAAAAAGTACATTTTGTTTATATTATGTTATGACTTCTGCAATTTTTGATTTATATAAAACAACAATGAGTAAATATTTGTTTCTTTGGAGATTTATTGCAGATAATAATTAGAAATTTTTTAGCAATTACCCTTTGATAGATTAGAGGATAGATTTGGCAATCGTCAAATCAGCAGTTGCCAGATTACAAAAAAATTGCAATTAATCTCAAAAAAGACAAATATCTACTCGTTATTGCTTCATGTAAATTAAAAATTGCAGAATTCAATAAATGGTTATAATCAAAATGTACTTTTTAAAAGCTTTATCTCTTTATATTTGAAGCATACAACATGCGTTATAAAACATGCCAACACTGCCAAACCGAAATATTTTTGACATTTGCGGCTATATTCAGCTTGTACTTTCGGTAAACTCAACCCAATTGTTTATTATTTTGTGGCTGTGTAAAATGTCAGTACAAACGTTTTCTTTAAAACAAACAAGAAGACGAGTACTCTTATTACAAACTGTGGCTTGTCATTGTTTTTTTTTTTGATTTGCTGGATTGTGCGAAATTATGTGATTTTATGCAGGATGCGAAAATTATGCGCCGGCAACTAAATTATGCGCAAATCGCATAATTATGCGCCGATGGCAACACTGACACAGACACAACGAACGACAGCGTCCTTCTCAAAGTACATAGCACATAGCCCTCTAGTAAAGTAAGTCCTATAGAAAGATTTAGAAGAGTTTCAAGCGCCAAATGCGGACGGGCCAAAACTAATTTTATTTGGCGGTAAATTTAAAACGTAAGTTCTGAATTTTAAGCGGCTAATTCAAAAAATATGCTCTAAATTTAGGCGGTAAAATTGAAAAAAAAGGCAAAGAAATAAGGCAACAAACTGATGCAAAATGTACAAAATAGTATTGAGTTTGTATCTACTAACAAAAGTTTGGTATAATTAGGTGCTGTTCTTGGATGGTACTTGAAAACATAAACCCCTATTCCTCAGAATGTTTAATAACCCTTCATCCAACTTTAACTTTTATCCATCCATAAAAAATATTCTTTTGATTTTTTCGATTTGGAATACTATACCATTTTGGTATTGTACCTTCTTCTCTTTTAGCAATATTTATTAGATACATGAAAATTAATGTACTAGTATACTGTTTTTATTTTATATTTCTAAAATTTGGAATAATAATGTTTTTATAACGCCATTTGCAATTTGCAAATGACACTAACTCATTTTTTGTTTTTTCGGTTTGGTCAATAATTCTTTAGAAATAAGTTATTGTAAATTTGTGTTGTGATTTTAGAGAATTTGCTACAATTTTTGTTAATTGAAAAACATTGTTATTTGGGTAAATATGCAAAACTAGTGAAACAAATCCATGGGAACAGCACTTACATCAACGTCATACGTCCCTTGCAATGTCATACCATTTCTCTTTGTGTCATACCTCCACTTAACGTGACTAATAGCGCCCTCGCCATTATGAACGGTTGGACCCATACAACTCACTCTTCTCACTTGTTCTATTTTACTTACACTACTATTTGTGGTACATACTGTGGCCCTTCTTTGCGACAAGTGACATTGACACCTTGTTTGAACTTAGACACGAAAATTATTTCTTAATCTGTGCTTGGAACACAGAAACTCTGTGTTTACTGTTGCGACGAAAGTGAACAACGCAATTTTTAAAATTAAAATTCATAATTATCTTGCTTCTTGCTTATAAAAGTTTATAAATTGGCGCTGGCTGAAAATACAATTTGAAAGTTGATTTATTTTTCCTCGATCTTGCAGGCTTTTTAAAATCCTGAGAGATGTTGATTGATATCAAATTTGGCTCTTTTATCTACTATATTTCATGAGAATAAACCAAAATTTAATTGAAAATACATTATATTTGACGTTTCGTTTTCCATAGTTGAAAATTTAACTTGATTTTGATAACTATAGGTAATTATCTGAGGTGCAAATCAAAATATAGATTATAACGTATTCTTAATGGTTTATTCTCATCTTCCAATATTAACATAAATAAGTTGCTAATACTTTAAATATATTTTTCACATATACAATTTAGCATTAAATACATTAATACATAAGTAAAAAATCACTGGTTGTTCTGTAGTGCTTCCGCCAGCTGTTCTTCATGTTCTTCCGCTTCTTGAATCTCCCGTTCAATTCTTAACAATTCCTTGCGGATAGCTTCATCTTCTGCCTTTACAATCATCTCCATTACAGCAGTTTTAGCCTCTTCTTCGAGTATCTTATGCTGTATATAGAATAAATACACTGTTAGAATTATATTAAAACTTTTTATAGCAAAATATAGTTTGTCTTTGTATACGTCCAATGGCGCACCCAGGGGGGTTTGGGGTTTAAACCTCCCCCTCATACAAGACCCTATTTCCACACTGTTACTCACAAAATTTCAAAATTTTAAGGACTCAAAATGGAGGTAGCATCGTAAAAAAAATTTCGGTGCCTACTAAGCCCCCCCCCCATAGGAAAATTCTAGGTGCGCTACTGAGTACGTCTCAAGTTGTCGGTATAAGGAAAATTATAGTGGTTGAAGAAGTACGAATATATACTAAGTGATATAAAAATCCGAACACCCATTAGTTATAAATTATTATATTTTGTTCTGATTGATTGCGTATTTAAATGGACTACTGATAATTTCTTTTGCTGTGGTTGCTGTATACCGTAGACTGTCTTTTGACAATGGGTCTTTGTCCATTACGTCGTTCGGCCATAATTCTTACTGCATTAAATGAGGTATTTTTATTTCCGGAACAGTCATTTGAAATGAACTTTTGTACTTATCCATCCTGGTTTTCATTTTTTCGCAGATACCGTTTTCATCCAGTTTCCTTTCTTTTAGATAGTTAAGTATTTTCTGAGCTTCTGTTTTTGCTTCCAGCATTCTTATTGGTTATTGGATTAATATGTATTGGACGAGTTGTTTTGTTATGATTTCCCTTTTGTTTTTGTTTCCTATTATCGTGTTCTGTTCAATCAACTGAAGGATGACATCTTTAACATGTGTCACCGGCGCAATTGAACATGACTGAACTACTTGATGTTCTGTTCTTGGTTTAGATCACGATACAAAGAATAGCAGGTGTGATAAAATTGGGACGAGTTCGCGCATGATGTCACAATGAGAGTGACTTTAAATAGGCCCCGTAAGAACATGACCGCTTGGAACACAATTAATTTTTAAATGGCAGTAAAAAATCATTTTACAGATTAATAGCGTTTCTATTGAACTATTTTGGATTCCGAAAAATAGTTTCATTTTATTTTGGATTCATTAGAATATAGGTGTTTTATTATTTTGATTGAAAAAATTAACAAATAATTTTTCCACTACCGAGTCCTTGAGAAAACCATGAAACATACTAGATTTATTGGCATCTCTTGTCTGTTTATGACCCAAACAACCAGCTACTACACAACGCATTTTATGTTAGCTTATAAATTGCTAAAGCCTACAAATCAACTTTCACAAAACACCATAAAATCTACAACAAGCTTAGAAGCAAAAATTGATAAAATTTCCGTTATAAACAGATATAATACAATGACGTTACTCTCATTGTGACGTCAAGAGTAGGGGATCTGGTGACAGTGGCCTGCGCAATATCATACCTATTATTATTATTCTTTGTACCACGGGTTTAGGTGGCAGCCAATGACGTATAATAAATAAAAATAAATATTATGACGTATAATATACTATACGTCATTGGTGGCAGCTCAGACAAATCCACAGAACAAAGTGGCTGTTCTGTTACTGCGTCAACTGACCTTATGTTTTTTATCTCTGTCTCTATCACATCATTTGTTTTAAAATGAATTGATTGTCGTTGTTATTCTTAGTTTTTGCCATATTTTTTACCTCCTTGGAATTTTTTGGTAACTTTTCTCTAGGCTTTCTACTTTTTCCCATAGCAGCTTATTAATTTCCTCTAAGATTTAATTTTTTGCGCTTTTTCGCACTTATTGTGCTTATTTTATTATTTCTGCAACAAATAAACTTGTTTTTTTCGCTCTCGCTATCGCGATCATCTTTATCTTTTCCTTGAGCTACCTTGATTTGAAACAGTTCTGTGTCTTTAATGCTTATATTAAAATACATCATTTTGCACATGCATCATACATTATTAGATTTACGTTCACTATATTTTGAAACAAGTAGGAGGTTTGTAGAAAAAGCAAAAATGATGAACTATTATGCATAATCATACTAACCCATCTTATTTTTGCCAGCCTTTCTCTTTCTTCTGTCAACTGACTAATTTCAATATGTTTAATCGTAGCTACTTCTTCGTTGTACCGATATTTGAACAGCCAGTGACCGAGATAGTGGATTGGATCTCGGGGTTGGATGGCAGTTATTTCTGCAAGTGCCAATGTTAGCGGTGTTCCTAAGTGTTCCTTTAGATAACTTACATCTTGAGACGACATTCTGCTTTCAGTAGACTCTGTGCTTTCTGTGAAAGAGAGTACTTAAACGAAAAGGGCTAGGAAACAATATATGTTTAGTAGAAATAAAGAGGCTTAACAACTTTGAATATTCCTAAAGGGAAATTAAGATGCTCCAAATATTATAGAAAGATCAAATAGTATTATCCAGATTTAAGGAATGTAAGCAATAAGTATACAAATGAATGCTAATCTTCCCTTTGGAGGTTATAATAATTACCTTCTGAACCTTGTACCGATCTTACATCCCTGATTCCTCTTTAGGTTTCTTTCTTTGAAACAAATCCACCAATTTCAAATTATCTAAAAGCTTTATTTCTACAGCTTCGTCATACGTTACTTCCCTTCCTGCGTGTGTTACCAAAAGTCCCTCTTCTGTAAATATGAGTTTCTGACTTTCAGTGAAATCTAAAAGAATTGGGAGATTTTAAGCAAAAAAAAGATGCGATTACTTATGTTTATTTCGGTTGATAACTACTACAAATTTTACATTTTTTTAAAATACCGCCACAAAAAATCCTAAAACCTAGAACTAATCTACCTGTTAGGTCTTGAGCAGGCGTTCTCCAACCTGTTGACGCCAATAGTGTACAACCGTCCAACATTTCTTTGAGTTCGTCAAGTTCTATAGTCTCTTCTAGGTTTGAGTTTCCTGTAAATCGCTTATGGGCTTCTAGTAGCAGGATGAGATTTGTAAAGTTTTTTTTCAAGACTTCCAGACAGTCGTCTAGAACATTTGCTGATTTTTCGTAACATTCTTGGGCTTCCTAAAACAAACAAAGAAAACGGTATTATTACCGTCTAGAATTTTCAAAAAAATCAGTTTTTAGATACCGTCCACCTTCAAAAATAACTCTTGTAGCCGAGTGAGCTGGTTGGATACCTAGGTCGAAGGTACAATGCACTTAATCAAGCAGACCAAAGCAACGAGTGATCGAATTCAACGAGGGAGGATAAAACCAGCACAAAAACTGCTTGCCCTGAAGACTTACCTGCTGCCGAGATACGTTATCAGGCTACAGAGCCCAACAGTCACTATGAATACGCTGAAGGGTGTTCAGAAAGACAGGTCTGTGCGTATAGCCGTTTGGAAGATTATGTCCCTCAATCGAACGTGTGCCGACATTCTCGCACCCACAAAAGAGGATGGTCTGGACGTCATGGCCATGGCCATGCACATCTTGGCTATCATGATAAGGAGACTGACACAATTGATTAGCTCAGCAACTGAGGCTACAGCGTTAACCCTCTATCTACCATATATGTCATGCCTCTGGAAGAAAGTCTTAAAATGGACGTCAGGCAGTTGAGCGTTGATCTCACGTGAGTTGAGCCAGAAACTTGAGGACGGCTATAGTGGAAACGAACTTCGTCAGGGTTCTTCACACTCCTAAGCTCTGCCTGGATAAGCAACCCATAGCCCTAGTGGTCGGGAAGAGATTATATTAAGGCGATATAGCTGAGAGGAAATCTACTTCCAACTAGAGGCATCCCTTCAAATCCAGCACATGAGCGTAGGTGCCGAAAGGGATGCGAACGTAACGAGAGCCTAAGTCATGTTTTACAAAAGTGCCCGTACCCACTGTACCGAATTAAAAAGACATGATCAACTCGTTACGTATCTTTGAAAAGCAGCTGAAAAGAAAGGGTGGGTATACGAGACAGAGCCGCGAATAAGATGTCAGGACGGTACCAGAGAACTACTAACGCAGTAGTGTGTGCGTTGTTCTCTGACGGTACTCTTAAGATTCCTCACCTTGTCGCTCTACTCTGAAAGCCCTGTATATTTATCTTTCTCCAAAATACCAGTTATATTTTTACATCTTGTATTGTTAGCATTCTCATAGATTCTTAGTCTTATTTTTATTTCTATAGAATCTATTTTGAAAGAAATATTTACAAAAAAAACTTTAAAGGCGTTTTTCTCAAAACTATATAAACAAATCATAAAGAAATATTTACCAGTACTTATTTACTAATGCGTGTATGTCATATCTAAGATAAAGAGAAGACAACAAACTTAGAAAAGAGCAAGGTTAAATATATTTCTTAGAAAAAGCACTGTAAATAAATATTTACCAGCATTTGCTGCCTAACGCTTTTATGTTGTTGTTCGTGACTCTGCTCACATTCGGTTATTTCCTTATCGTTTTCTACAAAGTTCAACGCTATTTTTGACTCATTTCCAGACGTGATTTCCGTATTTTCTAACTGCTTCTTTATGTCTTTTAGCTTTTTGATCCGAGTAGAAAAGTCGTACTGAACTTCGTATAGTTTGTAGTTTAAAATGTTCATTATAAAATCAGTTTTATTCACGAGAATTAGGCGTTCTTCCATGTTATTTCTGAGTTGCTTCAAGTCGTTGCAAATGTTATCACATTTGTTTTGTATAAGGCTAATATCCTGGAAACGAAAAATAAGTTAGTTCTACAGAATAATTTATAAATAATGCATATTATTTGTTTTTTATTTAATAACTTGGGGAATAAATTCATACGAACCAAGACACAACTATTAAAGAAATGGCGGAACAAATATCAAACGACAGAGCAATTTGCTTATTATAAACAGACTCGAAAATGTTTATGTTGAGAATGTAATACATTTATATTGTATACACAGATATATTGGTGTAAGAGTAAGCGGAACGCACCCATAGTGTCATGGGTTGACATGACAGACAATAATAGTAATGTCAATGAGTATCATGTAGTTGTAGGTGGTAGTAAGAAGTATGGTGGCTTAAGTTAGGTTAGTTAATTAGTATGTATGTTATAGGAAATAAAGCCTTTTATAATAGTAGTAAAGTACGACTATTTATTTTCCAAATCCACACCTTAACATGGTAGCAGAGGTCCGTGGTTGGAAAGTCGTACCTTTTACAACAGAAAAAGTTTGGTGCAGTTTGAAAAAAAAGTGTGACACATGATGGCAGGTAGTAGTGATTTTAGAATACCTATATTCGATGGGGAGAATTATAAAATGTGGAAAAAACGTCTTATGCTATTTTTGAAAATGAAGAAGTGTGATGTTGTGGTAACCAGACCGAAAAATGAAAATGATGATACAAATTGGGATGACGATGATGTAAAAGCAATGAATTATATATGCGGTGCAATATCGGATCGACAGATGGAGTACATCGACGAAAAAACTACGGCGTATGAGATGATAAAGAAATTTGATAATTTATATTTGAAAGAATCAACGGCATTGCAGATAGTATGTAGAAATAACTTGGAAAGATTAAAATTGAACAACTATGGAGACTGTGCAACATTTTTTAGTGACTTCGAAAAAGCTATAAACGAGTTAAAAAGCGCGGGTGCTAGTGTGTCTGAAAAGGAAAAATTGAACTATATGTTAAACACGTTGCCAGAGTCGTACAGTTATATTGGTGATTTAATAGATACATTAAAAGAAGATGATCAAACTGCAGACTACGTAAAAAACTAAGGTTATGATGTCCGAATTAAAAAATCAAAACAATGATTTTGGAAGAAAATCCAGTACATTTGTGGTAAATAAAGGTCGACAGGATCGATCATGCTTCCAGTGTGGCGAAGTTGGTCATTTCAAGCGAGATTGCAAAAATGGCGCCAATCAAGCGTCGGGTAATGGCGGACAAACGACAAGCAGTAGAGGCTGGTGGAGAGAAACGCGAGGTCGACAAGAAGCCGGAAGAGGAAGCTACGTCAGAGGACGTGGCCACTCACGTGGACAGCGCGGAACGCATGGAACAAGTGCACAGCGGTTCAACCGACAAGGACAGAAGAACGAAGAGCGAAACAGTGCTTCTTGGCTTACAACAGTAGCTCTTGGTAAGGATATGTCAGTTATTGCACAAAATACTGAAATAGGTAATGTAAATAATTGTATTGAAATAAAATGGCTTTTAGATAGTGGTTGTACAGACCACATTATTAATGATGAAAAATTATTTGATAAATGTAAATTACTTAAAGATCCCATTAATGTTTATTTAGGAGATAATAGGGTTGTAAAAGCTACTAAAATTGGAAATGTTTTAAGTTACTTTGATGCTTTTGGTAAAAAGAGTTTAGTAGATATGCAAAATGTTTTCTATGTTAAAGATATGAAATCAAATTTGATAAGTTATAGCAAAATAACAGAAAATAATAAGATTATTTCTCTAGGTAATATTTCAAAAGTTTTTGATAAACTTGGTAATATAACAGCAGTTGCTTTAAAAAATAATGGCTTATATATTATGAAAAGTAAATTAAAATCAGTTGAATTGCATGTAAATGTTGCAAATAAAGATATGAATAATATGAATCAAAAGGAAAAATGGCATCGTTTATTAGGTCATGTAAATTTTAAATATTTGAATATTTTATCTAAAGATCAGCTGTTGAATGGAATTCCTAATGAGTTTGAATCTGAATTTATGAAATGTAAGATTTGTATTGAAAGTAAAATGCATAATATTCCGTTTGTAAACAGTAGAAAAAAAGCTAAAGATATTTTAGAGATTGTACATACTGATGTTTGTGGGCCTTTTCGAACTACTGGGTTTAAAGGTGAAAATTATTTTGTTTCTTTCATTGATGATTATAGTAAGATTTCTAAAGTATATGCTATAAAATCAAAAGCAGAAGTATGTGATTGTTTGAATGAATATACGAATGAAAGTGAAAATTTGACTGGAAAGAAAATAAAGATTTTAAGATGTGATAATGGGAAAGAATATTTGAACAGTAAAGTCTACAGATTTGCAAAAGAAAGGGGTATAGTAATTGATAATTGTCCTACATATGTACATGAATTGAATGGGACTGCAGAACGGTTTAATCGAACTATAATGGATATGTCAAGATGTTTGTTGGCTGAAGCAGATATTCATAAAAAATATTGGCCTGAAATAGTTTGTGCTGCGGTTTATTTGAAAAATCGTACTTTATCTGATACAATTGAAAAGAAAACTCCATATGAAATATTTTTTGGACAGAAACCTGATGTTTCTAATTTGCGTTTGTATGGAAGTAAAGTTTTTGTACGAAGACCAGAACAGAAGAGAATCTCTAAATGGGATAAGAAAGCTGATATGGGAATTTTAATTGGTTATAGTAATGTTGGTTATCGTGTATTATTAAATGGCAGAGTCATTGTTGCTAGACACGTGGATATTGTTGAAGAAAACGTTAAGTGTATAGGTTTAGACTTTAACGAATCAGATAATGATAATAATGAAGAGTGTTACCCTGATAAAATTGATGAAAGCTCTGAAAATGACTCAATAGATGAAACTTTTGAAAGTACAAATGAAAGTATGGATGATAGTGTGAATAAAAATGAACCTGAGTTACCTAGATCTCACAGAGCCAAAAATCCTCCAAAGAAATTTGATGACTACTATGTATATAATAGTAGTATTTTTGTAAATATGTGTAGAACTGATATACCACATACATTTGAGGAGGCGATAAATTCTAATGAAAGTAAGTATTGGAAAACAGCTATGGACAAAGAAATTGATAGTTTAAATAAAAGTAAAACTTGGAAATTGGTTAAAAATGATACAAACAAAAATATTCTGGATGTTAAATGGGTTTATACTAAAAAGTCTGATAATACTTATAAAGCTAGATTGGTTGTACGAGGTTTTCAACAAACTGATGAAATTGATGATATTTATTCACCTGTGGCTAAAATGCAAACATTAAAGATTTTATTGTCATATTGTTGTCAAATGGGCCTAGTAATTGAACAAATGGATGTTGAAACAGCCTTTTTAAATGGTAAAGTAATTTCTGAAGTTTATATTAAACAACCTAAGGGTTATGAAGATGGAACAAGTAAAGTTTGTAAATTAGTTAAAGCTTTATATGGTTTAAAAGAAAGTCCAAGGGCATGGTATGAGTGCCTAGATACATTTTTGATAAATTTAGGTTTTGAAAGAAGTAATATTGATCCTTGTTTGTACGTTTATAAAATTGGAAATGATATTATTTACTTATTAATTTATGTCGATGATTTATTGATTTGTGGTAGAAATTTAAATGAAATTAAAAGGATTAAAATTTTATTATCAGAAAAATTTAAAATGAAAGATATTGGTGAAATTAAAGAATATCTTGGTATTACTGTTGATTATGATTCTAGTAAACATGAAATGAGATTGGATCAAAATAAATATATTGAATTATTAAGGAAAAAATATAATTTAGAAAAAGGTAAACTGTATAATACACCTATGGAAGTAAATTTAAAAATTGATAAATCTGATCATTGTGAAAGAAATATTAAATATAAAAATTTAATTGGTGCACTATTATACATAAGTTCGGCAACAAGGCCTGATATAAGTTTCAGCGTAAATTATCTGAGTAGATTTCAAAATTGCTATAATGAAACGCACTTTAAATATGCTGTACGAATTTTGAAATATTTATGCTTAACTAAAGATTTAAAATTGTTTTATAACAGAAATGAAAAAGTAAGTATTATTGATTGTTATGTGGATGCCGATTGGGCAGGTGATCATTTAGATAGAAAGTCTACAACTGGTTTTGTAATAAGATTGTTTGGTAATGTAATTTATTGGAAATCTAGAAAACAAAAAAGCGTTACAAAAGCTTCAACTTTTGCAGAGTATGTAGCATTGTCAGAAGCAGTAAGTGAATTGATATTTGTAAAAGAATTGTTGAAAATATTTGATATTGAAATAATAAAGCCAATTGATGTTTATGAAGATAACACTGGTACAATTAGTATAGCTAATTATGGCAATTTTACAAAAAATTCTAAGCATGTTGAAATTCATTATCATTATGTAAATGATTATGTTAAAGCAAATGTTATAAATGTGGTTAAAGTAGATTCTGATGATAATATTGCAGATATTTTTACGAAGTCCTTGGGCCAAGATAAATTTGAAAAATTTCGAAGTATGTTAAATTTGAATTAATGTAAATACAATGTAAATGTAAGGAGGCGTGTTGAGAATGTAATACATTTATATTGTATACACAGATATATTGGTGTAAGAGTAAGCGGAACGCACCCATAGTGTCATGGGTTGACATGACAGACAATAATAGTAATGTCAATGAGTATCATGTAGTTGTAGGTGGTAGTAAGAAGTATGGTGGCTTAAGTTAGGTTAGTTAATTAGTATGTATGTTATAGGAAATAAAGCCTTTTATAATAGTAGTAAAGTACGACTATTTATTTTCCAAATCCACACCTTAACAGTTTATATTACCAATATCATAGATGCAAAAAGATTAAGAATCTCTTTAAGAGACTATTTATCTCTTCACGGTAGTTTTACTTAATTACTGACGTGGATGTTTCAGGACGTAGACTCTGACATGCGGTATGTCATACCGTTGCCTATTCTCCTTTGTTTTTAATATGAATTTATCTTATATCACTGTATTTGTTTTTTATATCAACTACGGAATGATTCTTCACATTGCTGTAGCATAATATACTGCTACAAGTAAAATAAACTTTACTTTTTCAAGAATATTATGAATGCATGCATAATATTTAAAAAAATGGAGGACGTTACTACAAAATCGTTTATAAACTAAATTACAAGAAAAATTGATTACTTGTGACTAACAAATGGTAAAATAATGTTAAAAGAAACAGACTAATGATTTAAATTTAATGAGAAACTAAAATACAAAATTCTGACAATAACCAAAAATTACAATAAAATAACTAGTCATTTTGCGCGCAAGGTACGCAATTTTTCTTTGTACACTGTAAGCACACTGGTTTTCCACAAGAAAAGCACACATAAAAAGTCTTTCGCTTTAATGCACTTGGGCATAAGTAACACGTCTTCTTTTTCTCAAGCCTTTCTTCAAAATCTGCTTCTTTTTGGCGTTTTTGTCCTAGTATTCGTTCAATACCATATAATAATTCTCTCGGGATTCTGGGATTTTCGAGTCTTCTTTGTAGATGAGGTAAAACTAATTGTTTCGCCAACTCCTTTGTGTAGTTTAGCCTTTCCATATTATCTTCTTGTAGTGATTGGTACACAACATGCGAATTAACAGCAGCTATATCAATGATGCAGTAAAAAATAGTAAGTGGCCATCGGCGAGAACGACGTTTTACAGAATATTTGGCACACTTGGCATCTAAAGTATCGACACCTCCTTTCGTACGATTATAATGAGCTATAATTTCTGGTTTTCCAGTAATCTGATCCGTGCCTATTGAATGGTGCATCGAAGAAATAAGTAAAACAGCCCTCGATTTTTTGGCACATGGGAAATTAAGGATAAACTTTTCGTAAATCCGTAAGTAGTTGAATTTATTTGCCTACATCGATGTGACTGGAATTCCGGAGGGATTTCCCGTTTATTTTTCTTGAAGGTTCCCACATATGTTAACTTCTTTACACTTCTAACTGCTTTACTAGTTCTATAGAACTAAACCAATTATCAGCTGTGATATTACGGTTAGTTCCATAAATAGGTTTAGCAAGCCGAAGAACAGATTGAGTTGGTTTATTCATCTTTTTTTCTTCCTCAGATAACCCAGTTCCGTTAGTGTTTTAATACATATACATTTTAAACCTACACCTTCCCCTAAAGCCGACCAACATTTCATCAATACAAACACATGTGCCTACGGAATACAGTTTTTGACAATTTGATATGAATAATATATTAAATATGTTACTAATGGCTGCTGTTGGATCTATCTTTTTTCTTTCTTCTCTATCCAGAGGGTTATCAAAACGTAAACATTTTAGAAATATTGCAAATCTTTCCTTTGACATAACACATTTGAATATATCTCTACCAGTGCCATCTGTAGCAAATATAGAATTTATATCTTCGTCATTGGATTTGAAAGCTGATGAGTATAAAAGCAATCCCAAAAAGGCTTTTAGTTCTATTTCATCAATTTCATTTAGTTCTGGTCTATTCATACTTTTATAGTTTTCACGAATTGCACGTAATTTATTATTTGTCCATTTACATATTTTTTGTATTATATCCTCAGAAATAAGAAAATTAACAAAAATGATGAAGTTTCGTTTCTTACATCTCTGGACCGCACAGCTGGTACTTTTATTACAAGGTTGTGTAACGGAGTTCTTACATTTTTCGAGGGTGCTGTAGTAGACCACTTAAAACGATTTCTGCCCTAAAAATATGACTTACCATTATCATTTAAATGATATTCGTCTTCAGAACTTTCCGACTGCTCACTTCCGCTATCGTGTGAACTTTCAATACATACTTCTTCGCTTGCATCGTCAACATCACTATCACTAAAATATTCTAAATCACTAGGTACTTCGTCAGCCCATTGAGATAAAACAGCCTCAAAATCATCATCTGAAAGCTTTACAGTTTTGCGGCTAAATTTAGAACAACTGAATGAACTTGCTGCCATACTAACAGCAAAAGAATACACTACACTGCTTTTAACTATAGAAACGTAAATACTGACATGCGGTACTTGATACCGCAAGAAAACTTTATGTCAACGTACCTGCAAACGGTAGCTCAAAAACTGCAGCAGTTGAGAGCAGGTACAATTAAACTCCACTTGAAGGTACACAGATGGTGTTCTAAGAATCTTTTATAAAACACGTTTTACAACAAAATATATTTTCGGCTCGGTATGGCATACCGCATGTCAGTGGTTAAGGGTTAATAGCAATAAATAAGAACAATTTTCTTACTGAGGTATATCTAGTTCTTCGGCAATAGTTTGGGCTAATATCTTATCAGATTCTTTAAATTGTTTCTTAATATCTTTTAGCAATGAGTCAATCTTAGTGGTATCCATTTTCTATTTTGTTAGTATATTTGTATATGTTTAAATATGATGCAAAAGTTAAATTATACACTGACAAATATGTTGACATTACGGTGACACAATATTTTGACAACCTGAAAAGGGCTGTACAACTGTATCAGGCCTGTAAAAAGAACACATAAAGTAAACTTACCTAATAACGGCCCAGTTAACGAATATTTTACTTTAGACGTAAATATTAAGGAAACAAAATAATAGAGAAAATGGATTTAAAGTATATTTGATAGCTTGAAGTTTTCACGTTAATGCAACTATAACTCAAAAGAATACCTTTAAATAATATAAGAAAGAAAAGAACAAAAACAAAATTGATGTACAAATTAAAAATTACAAGATCCTTAAGACTTAAAACTACCTGTCTCACCTATCCAGCTCTTCCACTATGACTTCTTTCAAAACTACTGGCAACCCCGTTCCAGCCACGTACTGTTCATGAATTTTTTTACTCAAATGATCTTTAATAAATGCTTGCTTAATATTTTCGATGCTTTTGATAGTTTCATTTTTAATTTCTTTGACGGACTTTAGATTTAATCTCAAAAACTCTTTCTCCGTGGTAAGCTTTTGAACCGTGAACTTGCGAGATTTGGAAAATGTTGTGGAGGACATTGCAACAAAAAATCGATGTATACAAAAGTGAATTGAAAATATGAGTATATGCCAAATTGATTAATAATTAAATGTGACAATTATAGGTTAATATTTTTTGTGCAATGTAGAGGGAACAAATTTCCTGCCTCTATTATAGATCATGCGTATTAAAAAGTTACAGAAACTACTCCTCTTTGAATGTTTCCTGAGTTATAAGTTCTAATTATGTTTGTTTTTATCATAATCTTCTCTTTCGGCTACCGTGTAAGTGTAGTGTGATAGTTTATGAAAACATAATATATAATTACAATAATACTTGGTAATAATTCTTATATAAATTTACAGGCAATATAGTACAGAATAACTGTAATAATTTAGTGTGCCTAACGTTGTAACAGTGTTCTTAATGTTATGACAGTTGTCAGTATTCAAATAGATGTTTTGTTATTATAATGTCAAGTTCTATCCGAATAAAAGCCTAATTTTGCAAAAAGGTAGGTATTTTACTACAATTTTATTTGCATAAGTATACAATGGAGAAGTACTTTAGACCAGATAAACTAGAGGCTCAGAGGCTAAAGAATTCAAATATTCCGGTAAAATAATCAAGAATTTTTTGCAAAGCATTGAATCTAAAGATTTAGAATAAACTACTTCAGCTTCTGTTCAAACAAAACCTGGTCAGACTAGTTATTTTTCGCTTCTCCAATGAAAATACCTCAATCGCTTTCAAAATGTATAGCCAAAGTTACAGTTAACCAAATTAATGCCAAAGCCTTAATAGGCACTGCTGGAAGCTCTGATACTTTTTTAGATTTAGAATTCGCTATTGAAAATAAGCTTAAAATTGTTTTCAACTCATCGTGAAGTTTCTATGCCATCTATGTCATACTCAATAAATTTTCAACGACTTCTCAGTTTTAAATTTAGGTCTTCATAAGTGCAGCATGAATCAATCTGGGGGCGACAAAATCGTAAATTGAAGTTGTCCTTGAAAAATCCTAAGAAAAACTCATAGCTGCATTTTGATTCAGGGTATTTCTCTTTAAACATATTGTATAAATTGTAACATTCAGTCTTACGTCCAAATATTTTATAGTTTTTCCTGCTTATTTATTTTCTTTTAATGAGTAACTTTTAATATGTTGTCTTATTAGTAACCTGGTATGACCACTGATTGCATTAGTGCCTATTTTTTCCCACGAAGATCCTTGCGAGTTTTACCCATTAATAATACGACTTATTTGAATGCCATATAGCAACTTAAATGCTTCTAAACATACCTTTTCTCTGGTTTCACCCACAAGTACCTCGTATGTAAAATAAACATTATAAGCAGCCCTCTGCACCTTTTTTTCTGGGTCTATGAATTTTTATATTGTTGCAGGTAATCAATGATTATAAAAAAATATCCTGATCATTTTTAGTTTCTATTGTTCTCAAATGAACTAATATCTCTTCAGCTTAATTGTGCAAAGCGGTCTGTACACTTATGCTTACATCTGAAATAAAAGAGTCAGAGTTGATACAATGCTAACGTAGGCTATATTAATTGAAGGTTATTTAAATACCAACGCCATAATATTTTATTATCGAGCTATACAGACTGCAAAACGTATTTTACCTGCAATCAGCGTCAACAGTGATAGCTGGTACAACTCTACTTTTGTAATCAATGTACTCTTTATCTTTGACTCTAGCATGTCTCTCTCACAATTATAGTTTATTTTTATGAACGAGAGAGTAATTAGCATAATTTTAACTGGTGTCTCCGACCACTCCATGGGCGTGCTCAAGATTAATTGAAAAATTACTTTGAATAATTGTAAAAAATAAATTAATTATTTCAGTGTTATAAAGTGTTATGTGTATGTAAGCAAAAGTGACCTCTTTTATCACACACTATATTAGAACTGACTGGCCTACATTAAAAAGGGTTTTAAAAAATTCACATTTTTTTTAATTTTTAAAAATTACAAAAGAGAAAAAGAGTTTTTAAAACCGTCTAAGGTATGTTAAATAGATGAATAAAAATATTAATATAAAACTTACAGCTACTTGTTACAAATCCAAATCAGATTCAGAAGATGAACTTTCAGAACCAAGATTTATAATAACTGGCTCGATCATTTTATCAGTAATGTTGTCCAGCTTCCACATTTTTTCCTTTTCTTTAATAGTGTGATTTACTGCCTTTTCCCAGTTTTTAGGTTTTACATTATTTACGGCCTCCAAAAACAACTGTTTAACATCATGAATTTTAAAAGTGGTATTTTTTCTTGAAACTTCACTCTTTATCTGTGCCCATACCAGTTCAATCGGGTTTAATTCACAATTATATGGTGGGGATCTAAGTACTGTCATTCGACGATTTGTGTCAATTTAATCAATTTCGTATTTTTTAAATTTTTCTTTATGAAGGGCACACAACGAATAAAGTTCCTTTCTTATAGATCCGGGATGGTACGTAATATTTTTTGAACTCAGCCAATTCCGCAAGTCTTTTTTTAACCACTTGGTTGTGGGCAGTCCTTCTATAAGTCTGGAGTGATAACTTGCATTATCCATTACTATTACACAGTTCTTAGGAAGAAGATCTATCATTTGTTCGAACCATTCTTGAAAGACATCAGCGTTCATGTCTTTATGGTAGTCACCGGTACGAGTTGATTCAAAAGTTAATAAACCACCTTCAACAAAACCGTCTGAACTGCCAATGTGTACTATTATCAGCCTGCGTCCCTTTCCTAATGGTGGGTTTAAACCAGTAGATAAGTTATTTACAAAAGCGTGCCTTTGACTTGTAACAGTTTCATCCTGCCAAAATTTATTTGGTGTATGACCCTCGTTGATCCATGTTTCATCAAGATAAAATATTTTTCTTTTTTGGTTTCTCATTTCCTTTATGGTTCTTAGAAAATGTCTTCTCCGTATGACAATATCGCTTCTTTCTAATAAAATAGACTTTCTGGGATTCTTTTTCCAGCGGAAGCCTATTTCTTTTAAAAGTTTCCATAACGTACTTCGACTCATTTCTGGGTAATCCTTATCATCTCGAACTGAGACAAGAACTTTATCCAATGTTGGAAATTCTTGTCTAAAGAAGAATTCATGCACTTTCCGTCGAAGTCCTTCTTTAAAATGATATTCTATTTGAAATTTTGGTTTCCCTAGAGCATTACGTGGCATTTGAAAACTACCACATTTATCTTCTTTAATAACTCTGTAAATCGTAGATTTCCCCACACCAAGTGTATTGCTAACGAACTCAACGGTCTCATCAACACTTTCACATAAACGTTTGTCTGTAAATGATTTAAAACAATTAAATACTAATGTTTTTTCATTAACTGTTAAAGGACCAATTTTTCGGCGTTTACACGGCACTTCCAAATTTTCCATAACACTAGTATACACAATAAACTGCACCTTGCAACTGAAGTACCTACTTTTAGTGAACTGTTAAGAATTTTGAATACGCCACTTGGACCTTCCTACAAAATGGAAAAACCCACTATTACATTTTCTGTGGAATAAGTTTAGAAGGTAATTATCTTGTCAATTACTGTCGTAGATTCCTGGAATTAAAGAATTAAATGTTTGATTGTTGAAACCCTTACTTCGCGGAATGCACTCATTTCAGATAAAATAAAGCGTTTTAGTTTATCTAAAGAATTAAACTTTATTTTGCAAATAGGTAGGTACTTATTAAACTTTTATTGGTTATATATAACCAATAAAATAAACATCTTACATTTCTTGCAAATTCATTAGTACCTGTTAACCTCCATCACTCCGACACTGGCAACCTTATTTAGGGATTAGTAACCCTCACAACTATTGTATTCTATTCTGCTCCAACCTTTATACCTGGTGGTCATACTCAATTTAAAATTGTTTTCCCATATACTTCTGTAAACTTGTTGACAAATATCTGTTTTTCATTGAGTCACCCGTATCAACAGTTTAGGGATTTGCATACATAATTTATTGTTTTATTACTCTCTCATACATAAAAATACACTATAATATTTTCCACTTATTTTCTTGTTTTACTTTTCTTTAGTCGCTAGTAATGATTTGTTTTTCGCACTTTTTACAAATGCAATAAGACGGTGCTAAAACAACTTTAACCACACAAAAACAATCAAAAGTGTAGTTATTTAATCAGGGATTCACAGAACACAATAACTAGCGGTACAATACCTAGATGTTGATAGTGTTGCCTACAAAAACATTCTAAATCAGTGACATACAATCTTTTAGTTTATAATAATATATTTCAGCTCCCTATTTAACATGCATAGATAGACCAGACTTAGAATGTGTTTGCACCAAAAGAGGCAATACTGTTCATAAAACAAATTTCATCATCAAAATGTCAAAAATGAAAAAAAACGACTTAGAATGTTTTTGTTTACACCGATTCATTTTATCTTTGTAGAGGTAAGTAAGTAAAAATAGAAAAAACTGCTAGAATACATTATATATTATTAAATTACAAATATAACTGAATTGCATTATTTATTGACATAGTTAACATCCCTCGCACCAACATTTCAGGCTAGCGCTGCAGTGACCAGTAACACGTCCTTCTTCACCACATATTCTACGGCATAGTGCATTATCCCATACTGCGCATGGTCCACGATATTTTCCGGATAAACAATCACCCAAAGCAAACTCTGCTCCAATGGCAACTAATAGCAATACAGCGAATAAGTAAACAGCCTTCATTGTATAAGTTATTGGTAAGATATCTTGAGAAATGCTGAAAAAAAATAGTTGTATTTATTGTTTTGTGATATTAAGATATTTTAAATACCTCCATTATTATTATTTTTATTAGAAAAACTAAAGATAGTAAAGCTGTATGGCATCACAAATTTTATACAGAATTCCTGAAAGAAAAATCAACCTAAAGCAGATTCTAGATGTCCGAAAATAACCCCAAACTATTTTCTACAAGAAAGTTTAAAGAAAAGGAAAATAATAATCAACAATCAAATTATTTTACTTACCAAAAGAACTTTTGATTGAACAGTGTATCTTTCACTGCAATTCTTAACTTATATACCTACAGTAAATTTTGCTTCAGATAGGCTTTTTTTGAAATTTTTTTTATTTAATTATGTTAACGTACATATTTTACATATTTAATTGCATATTTTATTCATTATTTTCTTAAGAAATGCAGGTCATGATAAATATTATTATCATTTAATTACTATTTAAAAATTTCGGGGAAACGGTACATAATTGTTATGGAATACTATGCGTTTATTTCTTCTCCGGACTAACTCTTTGTTTTGGAATTAAACAGAATATATTGACATGTATAAATTTATTATATTAGAGGATGAAAATTACACTGCCTGTTATTTCTTAAAACTATGAATTTATAAGTTCTGTTATCTACAATTATTTAACGATGTTTCTGGATGGATTTGAGTACAAGAGATTGGACTCAAATATTAATATTAAAATAGCAAATACGGATAGCTTATCGAACAAAGAAATAAGAGAAATAAATTATTATTATTCCATAGATACGAAGTATTAGGCGAATAAACTAGCGAAACTTATTTATTCTAAATAGGAAAATATTTATGAAGAGTATTGATTCTGATTTCTAACAGCAAATAATTATTAGTGATTATACATGAGAACTTTTCATAATTGTAAATAACATATACCAGGTGACTAAAAACTATATAGAAATACATAGATACTTTAATTATCTTACATGTGAGTAGGTAGGTACATTACACCTCCTTTTGTAAGAATGAAAATAATTGTAAAATGAATTTTCATTTAAATGGTATAAAACATTTGTATACATTATTATTTTATTTTAACACATTTAAATAGTTTCTTTTAGTCTCGATAGTCTTTCACTTCGTCTTATCGGTGTAGTCTCTGTGAAACTAGTCTCTTCACACTTTTTGGATTCACTATAATTATTGTCTTTATTATGTTTACAATCTATACTTAAATCTGTCTCATGTACATGTTTTCGTTTACTTTGACATATATTTAGTGTTAAACAATTTGTAATTTGTTGACAACTATGTGACGGATTTCTACGAAATCGTCGGTAAAAATATTTAATTATCCTGTATAAAATATAAAGTAACATACATTTTATCAAAAATAAGATTGCATAAGTGAAATAAGAACTATTTTTTATTGTGTCTGAAAAATTAATATTTGTTTCTGAGGTCATTTTCTCTAAATTATCTAGTTTATGGCTTGCTAAATTTAATGCATCTCGATCGAGATTATTTAATTGTAAGGGAACAAGGTGTAATTTGGATTCATTATTTATCTTAATATCATCACAACAGACTTCTGGAAGGGATAAATCTGGAATGATAGACTGAAAATTACTTTCTTTTGGATTTGAGACAGATATCAAAATAGTTGATCCGGTGTAAGTTTTGCAATTATTCGAAGTAGAAAAAATACCTGTGTTTGAAAGAACAATAGATATTGGCGTACTAGTCTGACAGCTTAAAGTTAAATCTGTTGGTTTGGGTAAAACATATATCCAAGAATTTGGTTTGTTTAATTTATGCCAAATTTCATATTCTGTTTGAATTATACGAGTATCGCAACTAGATGGTATGTTTGTTATTGAAGTTAACAATTCAGTTTCACAAATTGGATTAGTGTGTGTAAATCGGAAAGTATCAGGATTTTTGCAAATAAGTTTTTCTGTAAGTTTTGTTGTAATTCTGTTATAAAGAAAGTTAGTAAAGTAAAATGTTCTTCAATTTTTTGTTTTAAATCTAAATTAAAATATTTATTATTCATTTTATCTGTGTAATTGGTAATTGATTCAAAATTTTTATCAAAAATCACTTTGTTTCGGTCTAGATTTGTAATAGAGTTATTAAAATTTGCAATCGTGGCTTTTACTACATGAATTTGTTGTTTTAGTAAATCAAGAAGATGATTTTCGTTACTTTCAGCTTTGTTAATAGCATTATTGAAATTTTCAGCATCATCACTGTCTAAGGTACCGAATAAGGTCCTGAAAACAGATCCAATTGCATTAAATAGAGCGCGTTTTGGTCTAAAATGTTCATGCAGAATTATGTTTTTTAAAGTTTGTTCATCTTGAAAGAGTCTAGGTATGATTTGTCCTAAGAGTTTTAGTGAAGTATCACATAATCGTAATTCAATAAGAACTGGTTTGTTTTGACACAGTCTTAATGTTTTTTGATAGGTGAGATCTACAAAATTTAATTTGTCTGTAAAAGGTTGTAAAGGAATATGACTTAATATGTTCCAATGAGTTTCAATAAATTGAACATTTTTTATGTGTTCGTAATAGATTCCAGGTGATTTGTTGATAGGAGTATTGGTATATTTCTTGTGAATTTGTTCACTATTTGTCAGCCATATTATTGCATACCTGAAACAAAAGCATGTTTCAATCTATTCATGTGAACTTTTATTGGTTTTTTATTTACTAAAATTGTGCAATTGACAGGAGAATTTATCTCTAGAATTTTATAAGGTCCATTATAATTTTGTGTAAGTTTTTTGGTTTGACCCTTCTTTGTTTGCTCATTTTGGAGATATACTAATTGTCCTTCTAAGAAAACGGTGTCATTAATCTTTTGGTCATAATATTTTTTACTGACTACTTTAGATTCTAATAGATTCGTTTTTGCTAACTCATGAGATTTTCTAAGTTTAAGTGTTAAATTATCTAAATAATCTTCATATGTATATTTGAGTTCTACTGGTCGTATTATACTGCTAGGTAGATTAGGTGTATATCCAAATATTAGTTCATATGGTGTGAATTTGGTTGAAGTATGATTAGTTGTATTATATGAAAACATAGCAAAATCTAGCCATTCGTCCCAATCGGATTGATCAGCTTTAATATAATGTTTAAGGTAGTCTGCTAAAGTAGCGTGACTCCTTTCTAATGCAGCATTTGATTCTGGATGATAAGCAGTACAATTTATATGTCTGATTTTAAAAAGCTTGGCGATTTGAGAAAATAATTTGGAAGTAAAATCTCGGCCTTGATCAGTAACTATTATATCGGGTTTTCCAAACTTGCAAATAAATCCACGAACCAGATTTTCAGCGATAGTCTTGGTTTCATGATTCGGAATTGCGTAAGCTTGAGAAAATTTTGTTAAGTCATCTTGTAATGTTAATATGAACTTATTACCTGACTCGGTTAAAGGTAAAGGACCTACTATATCTAAAAATATTTTTTCTAATGGATTTGAGCTTGTTGTTGTTATCTCCATGGGCTTTACGAATTTTTTTCTAACGAGTTTATTTTTCTGACAAGATTCACAGGTTTTTATAAAGTTTTTAATATCATTTTTCATATTATTCCATTTGAAATGTTTTTTTATACGATTGTATGTCCGATGAAAACCAGAGTGTCCAGCCGTAGGACTAGTGTGATTCTCTTGTAATATTGTAGTTATTTCCTCAGGTTCAGGATTTGTTAGTATATCATGATAAATGATAATAGATATATCAGTTTTTCTAAAAATAAATCTAATCATAGATCTAATTTTTCCCCAACTTAATTTATCGTAGCTAAAAGTTATTCTGGGTAGGCAAATTTTTAATATTTTATCGTTTAATAACCAGTCTCTTAATTTTATTAGGGAATTAAATATATCTTCATAAGAGGTATTGTCCCAATAATTATTTTTTATAAATATGTAATAAAAGTTTTTATTTTGATCAGAAATATATATAATGTCATTTAGTCTTGGATTTTTGGCTTTCAATTTTTCTATATGACTGAATTGTTTATTTATTTGTTTCTGAACGATCTCATTAAAATTTAAATCTACGGAAACAAACAATGCTAAATTTTGTGAAAATGATGTAATCTTTTCATTTGTTTCTTTTATATTATCATTTGTTATTAATATAGTTTCGGATTTAGATAAGAACTGTGAATAAGTGTCATTATTTTCTTTACTCATTTTGTTTATTTGTAAGGTGATTGTTGCCGGGTTTTTGTTTTCTTCGCAAATATTTGTTTCAGATATGGTTAAAGGAGGACGACTTAAACAATCAGCATTTTGATTTAATTTACCTGGTTTATAAATAATTTCATAGCTATATTCTTCTAATGCTAATCTCCACCTAACGAGTCTTGATCCGGGATCTTTTACATTAAATAGCCATGTGAGTGGTTTATGATCCGTATAAATGAAAAATTTATTTCCGTACAAATATGGTCTAAAGTGTTTAACACTCCATACAATTGCAAGTAATTCTTTTTCTGTTGTGCTATAGTTTGATTCCGCTTTGTTCAAGGTACGACTAGCATAAGCAATAGGTAAATCATCTGGTACTTTACCTTGAGAAAGTATGGACCCTATTGCATAATTACTAGCATCCGTTGTTAAGACAAAGGGTTTGGTAAAATCTGGATACTGAAGTATTGGTTCTGAACAAAGTATTGATTTCAGGTTCTCAAATGACTGTTGTTGAATGCTTGTCCAATTAAATTCAACATTTTTCCTCAGCAGTTTTGTTAAAGGTTGTGTTAAAGCACTGAAATTTTTTATAAAGCGTCTATAATAACCAGTGAGACCCAAAAAGCTCTTAATATCTTTTTGTGTTCTGGGTATAGGAAAATCTGTAACAGCACATACCTTTTTTTCGTCCGGTTTGACACCAAATTCAGTTATTAAATGTCCTAAATACATTACTTCGCGACGAAAAAATTCGCACTT